CAACCATCCTTTATCCGCTGGCACGACTATCGATGGCTTCCTTCCCCTCAATTTACCCGGAAGTAAAATAATGACGTTCTGAGACAAGTTCAGTCACGCAAGTGCAAACTTAGTCACGTCTATTTCAGAACGAAACAGGTTCCTTCACTATGATATATCAGCTATTCCTGAATTGCATGAACTTACGTGACCCGGTAGACTGCCGACAGCAACACTTCGAACAATTCCTTCGGCGATGCTGGCGAATTTTGTAAGCGGTATGGACTGAGGCATGGTTTTCAGACGGCTGTTGAGTTTTTGGCCAATAATATTTGGAATCATTGCACATATTTTGGACGGCAACATTTGCCGAGCTTGCGCAGCCGCGTTTCCCTGTAACAGAGAACCTGGCCAGGATAAGCCTATAAAATTAAGCTGTGCGTCAAAAGGGTTATAACCAATGAAAGCCTTAAGTAAATTCATGCAGTATTTCGAGACAGGACTAATGGTGAGTTCACACGTTGCAAATGAGAAGTATTGGCAAATTGTAATTTGCAACTTACACGAAACTGTGAATTGAAAACATTGCCGACGAGACCACCGTTTCGAATAACAACATCGGTAAAGCCAACAGACACATAGCAACCAATGACACGGAGATATGGAGATCCATTCGAGGCATGATGTATTGTCAACTGAGTTGTTACTGACACCTCAAATTTGCCTCAGTTCGAGCCTTGATAATAAAAAAAAAAATTTGGCTCAAGTTTCACAACATTCCAAACGAGTTTCATCTTTTTTGTGAGAGTGTTGGTGAATTTTTCTTTCGACTGTTATGGAAAAATAATCTAGCAACAACTTTACATCCTATTTTGCGCAGCTACCAATGCGAAACGAATTCTGGGGATAGCGGTTTTCTTGCTAAAAGAATCAAAACCATCAAACTGCATTCTGCGGATAACTGTATTTCCCAGTGCAAAAGAAATCCTTCAGTATTCTAGTGACGTGGAAGAAGAATGCCATAGATTTCAAATGCAACGCTTTTTGAGCAATCGCTTCGTTTACTTCTTTTAATTATAAAAAAGTTTTTCTTGTTTATGCAATTAGCAAGACCTGATGCGCACTGATATGTACAATACCATTAAGGA